CCCCAAAACCCCAAAACCCCTGAAGAAAGAGTTAGGTGAAGTATGAAAAATTTCTTATTAAGTGAAAATAAAATTTCTTGTAAATTGTTTAAAATGTTATCATTAAGAATCTTCTGATTCATTAAATTTCTTATCTAAGTACTAGTTCTATTCTTAATATTGCTTTTTGTCTTTTTGATAATCATCAGTACTATTTTGAACCTCATTTGAATTTTCATCAATAATCTTTTCAGTAGTCTACAGATAATAATTCAAACCTCTAGTTGAATCATAATTGTTAATCTCTTCTTCATGATAGTCCCTATTTAATTGAATATCTTCAACTCCATATTCATTCTTTTCCTCTTGCTCTGACTGGGAAAAAGCTTCAGAATCTGAAATTTCGAAATCTGTGCAATGATTCTCAATAGTTTTAAAACCTTAAATCTTCTTAAGAATTCCTGCTCTCTTATTATTATTTTCCGTTGGTGTTTGATTCCTTAGATTTAAATCAATTTGCTATTCTATAGCATAGCCGAAATTTTCATATTTTTTTGAGTTATTCTATTCCAAAACCAGCACCTAGCTTGGATTACGCATATACACATTCAAATTATCCTCAACTTCCCTCATTTTTTCAGAGAAATCTTTTAATCTCCTCTTGAATACTCCTCTGACCAAATTAAACTCAAGTGGTTCTACATTCTTGTCAAGGAATTACTGCATCATCTTTTTAATTTTTCCATACATGAATAGCCTAATAAGTGGATTTTTGCTTTCCATTAAAGTAGTAGTTTACTTCTTATCATCATCTGAGTCTGATGAAGATGAGTCTGTTTCAATCAAATTAAATCTCTGATATGACAAGAGCACTCTACTCTTTTGAGGCAACATTGCTTGCTATAAAAGCTTAAATTTTCTCAATGACTTCAAAAGCTTGATAATATCTAATTCCTTCTTTAGCTTCTTTTTACCCTTTCTAAATAGATAGTGAACCTTGTTTTACTTATCAAATCTAAGAGATTACTTTCTTCTAAGACAAATGCATCTGAACATGTAATCAATCATTTTTTTAATCCCGTATTTGAATTGTGTTCTATGTATTATAGATAAAATCACTTCTTCTAAATCTTTAAAAGTTAGTTATGTCTTTTCATCTAGTTGCTTAGCTACATTTTATTCTCTGTCTTTTGGAGTATCTATGACCACACTTTAAAATTTTTAATCTTCAAAAGCCGATGTTTTAGATCTTCTTAACTGAGCACTATCAATTTTTATCATTTTTAGAGAATTTGAAGGAGCTCTTCTTTGAGGTTTATCATTATATTTAATCTAATTTTCATTATCACTTTTATTGAATTTCTCATTCTACAGTACCTTCATTGAAGTTTGCTTTTGCTCATCTGTACTTTTTTCAATGCTACTGTAGCTTCCATTTCCTACTTTATCCTATTGCTAATACTTTTTTTAGATTGAATCCTAAGATTGGGCCTCACAATCTATTTTTACAGTTGTTTACTATGCTGTATTGCTTTATTCTTATTTCAGTTTTTGAGAGGAATATTGGTGATATTATCTTAAAGTGAATCTTCTCTATAGTTTTTTATTATCTGGATCCGATTTTCTTTATTGTCTCTAAATCTCAGACTCTAACTTCAAAGGACTTTTTCTAACTTAATAAATTCTTTTTAGAATGTCTGAGATATACATTCTCTAGCTAAAGAAACTCACAAAAATAATTCCAATACCAGATAATGCACCATACAGTCCTCCGATATCACCTAAGTACTCTAGAAAGGCGTAATTTTTAACTTGGTAGATGTCATATCTATTGTCAAATCTAATATAAACAGCTGCAAGAACACCAGATTATGGAGAGTAATTATCATCAAATCGTTGTATATTTTAAACTTAAAAAAACTCCTCATTTCTTTCCTAACCAAACTAAATATAATCATCTTGATAGCTAGCCTCCTATTTTTGTACATATAAATTGGCTTTCTTGTTTCTAGAAGAATCAATCTCAAGGTAAAAAGAGTCATCAATAAACAGCTTATTTTTAGATTTGGTAGAGGAGTTTCTATAGTCAAGATAAGTATTTGTAAATGCAAATGTTAACTCCTCATCTAAGAAATATTAATCAATCATTTCAATTGGATAGCAACTATCATTATCTGACTTATTTTAGCATTTGTATAGCTTAATCTCTAGATATTCATAAACTTCGTCGTAGTAGCCACCTTGTAGTGTGTAATCTTAATCTTTCAAACAGAAATATTCATTTATTCCTAAAGTCATTAATTCTTATTTATTTGTGTAGTTGAAAAGATCATCTTGGCAAAATGTAAAATTTAAGGGCGACAATTTTTTCAATCTCTTTCGAGTTCCATCCTCCAACACTTCGTCACTTATATAGTACTTCACTTAGTTAACTGAGAGATGCCCATATCTAGGATCTAAAGTCTTATTGTTTAGTTGAAATGCGAAATCGAAAAAATAATTTTGAGGTCTGAAGATCCCAGCACTGCTATAATCTTAAATCAAGGATGTTTTAGTTGTTTAAGGGGATTACTAGCTAATGAGAATGTTAGCTCTATAAACCCCAAAACCAAGCAGAATAATGATTAAAATGAATGATATTGATGCTCCAAATTTTGTCTGGTAAGTATCATCTCCCTTGTAAGTTAAACTTACTGGTTGTCCAAACCAATCCAGCCCTCTGAATTCCTTCTCTATTTTCTAGCATTTTGTCTTGTGATGATTCTTCTTCTTTTTACTCTATAAATAATATAATAACTTCTAAATGATTAAAATACATGATGATTAGTTGTGCTTTAACTGTTCGCAGCATTAGATGTTGTAACTATAGTTGATGATAAATTTTTCATTAAACTTTTTAATCATATAAACCGGAAACATATTTAAAATCTCAGTAACTCAATATAGTAGTAAATTATTTAAATTGACTTTATAAGATAATTCTTAATTTCACATAATTCTGATGATTTTCATTCAATTGCGGTATGGGGTTTTGGGGTTTTGGGGTTTTGGGG